TCACAATTGGGAAAACTAAGGTATTGGCATCCAGAAACAAAATGGCTCTACATTTTTGTTATGCAAACAACTCTTCAACATCTTTCTTTGAACTTTGTTTGTCTTTCCTTTTTGCCTGGTTTAAAGAAAATTCACCTGTCATCAATAATGTACTTCTCTACTGAATTATTACCCTGGCAACAGAAATAGAGGAAAAAACTAGAGGAAAAAAATGTGGTGTACACTTCTGAAAACTTTTTGAACAAGCCATACAACACAATGAGATATCTACAGCAAGTAATATAATAGAGGACGTGAGAATAATCTCCCCATATCAATAAGTATGCTAAATGTTATTTCTTTAAACTAGAGAGTAGTAAAAGGCATTATTCAGTCCACAAAGATAGAAAAGATAAAAGAAATGCATAAAGCTTCCTGTTAAAGTTCTCTGCTCATTTTAAGTAGAGAAATGGATGGCTTTCCTCCTACCTATAGATCAGGAAAAAGTAGCTGCCAGGAGTGAGGTCAACATAAAAAGGATTGGCTATCAGAACTAACAATATCTCTTCCCTACAAGGTAAGGAGCAGTGGCCTTAATTCTTCTTTGTCAAGGTCGAATGCAAGGGAGCTTGGAAAGTTAGAAAACAGTTCCTTCACTAAATATAGTGTAGCGCTACCCCCCCATAAGTGTCACTGGAATCCCGGTTCTCCTGGCCTCTTAAACAAGAGGCTGTTGGTTCACACTGGTTCCTCGCTCAGGCACCTCTACTTACCTTGGTAACCCTCTAGGGCAGTGGTGGTGAACCTTTTAGAGACCGAGTGCCCAAACTGCAACCCAAAACTGCAAAGTGCCAACGTAGTAATTTAACCTCAATACCAAGATTTTACTACCTAAAATAATGATAAACAAGGCAGCGTTCAGCTAATTGTTCTAAGAAAAACAAAATATATGCACTTTTATGCCCCTTCATTTTTTTCCTGCTTTTGAAATATGTTTAGCAACAATAAAAAAATAAAAACTTTTGTAATATCATTCCCTCCCTCTCTCTTTCTTTCCCTTCCCTCCTCTCTTCCTTTCCCCCCTCTCTTTCCCTCCCACTTTCTCCCTCTTTCTGTTTCTCTCTGTATTTCTTTCCCTCCCTTTCTCGTTTCTCTTTCCCTCCTGTCTCTTTCCCTCTCTCTCGCTCTTTCCCTCCCTCCCTTTTTGTTTCCTTCCCCTCTTTCTCTCTCTGGGTCTCTCTCTCTCTCTTCCCCATCTTCCCCTCCCTCCCTCCCCCTCTGCCCCTATTTCTCTTTTCCCTTTCTCTCTCTCTCTTTCCCTCCCCCTCTGCCCTTGTTTCTCTCTTTCTCTCCCTCTCTCTTTCCCTCCCTCTCTCACCGCTAGGGGTGGGGGGGAAGAACCCTTGAACTGGTGCTGGGTGATGAGAATCTAATGTCCATAGGCTGATGAGCCCAGGAGTAGCGCGCCAAAGTTCAGCTGCTTAGTAGCGAGGCAGGGCATCCCAACAAAGGCAGTTTTGCAGGAAAAGCAACTGACATCTGGAGGCCAGAATGAGCCAAGATGACACAGGGCTCTGAGTTGTAATGTGCTTCAGGAGGAGGGGACCCATCTCCCCCATTGTGAAGCGTGAGAGTAAAAAAGTTCACTCAGTCAATTCCAACTTCGCAAGATCTTTTTTTCTTTTGTGAGAAGTTGGAATTGATAAAATGAATTTTTTTTTAGTTACAAACTTTTGTTTCCCTGCAAACAACAGCAAGAAATACAATGGAGAAATGTGATGGAGCTGGGCTGGGGCAATGGTCTGCATGTCCACAGCGGGGGCTCTGCATACCACCTCTGGCATGCATGCCATAGGTTCGCTACCATGACTCTGGGGCACTAGGAACACAGTTTTTAGAAGTTGCAGCCAACTCTACATTGGAATAAACATTCTCGAAAAGTTGGACCATACATGTCTGGAAGACACCAGCTTATGAAAACCTTCACCACTATGTTAGAAAATACAAAGAATATAATAAGATAAACTTAATTTCTTCTGCAACCACTTTTATCAGAAACTATATAAGACGTAAATATAGAAAGCATGAGCTATGATGTGAAAAATTGTTTCGGCAAACTCTGAAGAAGACTCAATTCTAGATCTTAATATGAAATTGCTTCTTCGTTTTCCTCCTGATCTTCCTCCTACTTAACAAGTTCCAATTATAGATTTGACTTATATAAGCAGTATTTACTGAGATATCAGTCTTTCCTATAAAAACATAAAAGGCACTGAAAACCAAGAACTTTTGTTTGAAAGGCTCCAGGAGAATGAATTTTGTTCTTCCATATTATCCTAACTGCAATATTGCACTTGCTTCTGAACACATTCAGCATTTACCTGTTCTGAGCTAGGCATCCGGATATAATAAAAAGCACATGGTTAGGTCCAAAAACCCTCTTTTTATTTCAAAGGCTGTGAATTATATTCATTCACAGCCAGTAATGAGTCCCAAATAGTTGGAAACAGTTCTGTAGGAGGCTGCCAAAGTCCTTTGGGATAAGGCTGATGTTTTCTTTGAAAACACTGTCAAAGATTTAATTAGCAATTACCTTAGCAATTACCACATGGAACAAAGAGTCCAAATGGAGTTTCAGAAGGTAAACTGACCAGCAAGTTGCCTCCTGCAAAGACTCATGTGCCTTTGCTCCACCTTTATGTCCTATGGGAGGGGCCAATCACCTCCAAACCTTACTCCGGAGTCGTCCCTTCTGTTTTAACTGTTCTTGCCTTCTGGCAGCTCTGCGCATGCGTGCACTGGGAACAGGGGGAGCCTGTTCCTCTGCCTCACTGCTGTCCGATTCTGGATGCTCTGGAGGCAGCACAGATGGCCCTGGCCCCTCTCTGCCTCCGACGCAGAGCCCTTGTCCGAGCCTTCCCCAGATTCCAGGACTTGACCATGTTCCTCTCCAACCTCCTCACTGTCCGACTCTGCTGCGAGCTCCGCAGGCCACCGGCGCACCACATTACCAAAGTACAAGGCAATATTTCTTCCCCTAGTTTGTTCCCTTTATTGTTGCTGGTTTCCTGACTTGCTGTTGGAAAGGAGATCAATAAAATCAATTATGTTGTTTAGGCAAGCACAGGTGATGTTAATATTATTTTAAAGCAGTCCATTTGTATTGGGAAGATTTTTCTGAATTAAATATCTAAAGAAGGATGCCTAGGTGCAAAGTGGCCCTTGGGAGGCATAAGGGTAACACTTTCAGGGTCTGAGACACTGTACTATGCTGAAATATTACTGCTAAATCAAAGCAATGAAGTAGATGCACAAATATTTCATGGGATAAATTATTTCTGGAGTTAGCCTTATTACAATACATTATTTATTATTATTGCTAATTCAAACAAAGGAGGACACTGGGCTTGTCTGGCAGTTCGAGACCAAAGTACCACATGACAGAGTGAGCTTCTGTTTCTTGCCCCAATTCCTACCAACCTAGCAGTTTGAAAGCATGGACATGCAAGTAAATAAATATATACTATTTTAGTGGGAAGGTAACAGCATTCCATGTGCCTTCAGTGATAATTATGCTGACTATATGACCACAGAAGTGTCCTCAGAATACGCTGGCTCTTTGGGTGTGAACCCGAGATGAACACCGCTTTGTAGAGTCAAACATGATTGGCAGGGGAAACCTTAATTTTATCTTAATAGAAGTCCCTAAGAGTTTCAAACCAGAAATCCAACTTGTGGCTTTCCTCAACAATGGGGCGGCGGGGGTGTGTGTGTTTTTAACCTTATAATTTCTGTTGTTACCCTGGCCTGAAGTAGGCTGTGGAATTCAGCAGTGTATATGTTACAGAATCAACTGAATACCAGTTAATAGAACACATTCTGACAGATATACATATGAGGAATATACATGTTTTTTTCTCTTAAAAGGGCACAAGAATGTTGGACTTTCCCTACCTTTCCCTATTTTCTATTGAATTGAGTTCTAAACTGGGAATTCTGAAGTTCATAGATTTGCTCCCTGGGAATAGCAGTTAAGTTTGTTTTGCCTCAGTCAACAATGTAGGACTATTTACTTTGAAATCTACTTTCAGTAGGATATACTGCCAAATATATCAGTACCGGTAACTAAGTAATATTTCTGATACTCCAGCATGGCTTAGAATGTGCAGCCATAGCACATGTTTTTAATGTGGTAATTATTAATACATTTTTAGTACACTGTGTCTCTTATTTGGTTATCTCACACATACACACACTACTCATGTTCGAATCCTTTACAAATCTTATCCAACAACACAGTATATGACATAATGTGTAACAATTTTAAGGTTCATTTGTAGAACCAATTTTCCAGATATAATGAATTAGTAAATATTAGGTCTGAAGATATCTAATATGGAAATCTCAACTGTGAATCTATGTGAACATGCAATGGGATCCAAATATAGTAAAATTTTAAATCAGGTCTAATATTAAAAACGCTGCACTACAGAACCTGAACACTGACTGCAGGTACTGGTAATTGCCCACCCATTGCTAGGAAGCACGCAAGCTGCAGTTCAACAGATCTGGAAACGCCCGGGGAAAATGTAGAGTGATACACTCAAGAAAGAGTTGGTTACTAATTTCTGAATGCGCTGGCGGATGTGTTTTTGTTTTAGTGAAGCAAAGAAACCTCAAGGAACTGTCCCGCAATTCCTTTCTCTTTTCAAAAAGCTTTGCTTTGAACGCTGGCATTTTCCAAAGGTTGTAAGAATATGGTGGGGGATTGTGATTAAATCCAACCCTACCCTAGCTGTGCTTATACAGAAAATTCCAAATATCATTATCAAGCATCAATTTCAACCTCCCAAACTTATAGTAAAATAAATCCCCATGTTAGGACATTAGTTAACTGGGAGACTTCGTGAAAGAATTCGCTCATCCAACCCCACTCATCCCGAGGGGAAGTCCCCCTAGGGCGAACAGAAGGCCAAGAAGAATTAAAAGGACTCGCAATGAAGGCAAGTCTTTTCACTCACCCTCTGACTTTGAATGCCATCAAAATAATAATAGCGGAGTAAAAAAGCTGCCTTTCTTTGAATATGAGTCTCAGAGCGTACTCTGCAATCGGAAAAAGTGCTGTTTGTCTTGCAATCCCTTCTTTCTCTCAGCGGAAACCGCTGCTGTCTCCGTCCCAAAAAGAACTGGCCCTCTACAGACCAGCCAGCTCCTCACCTCCTGCAGCGCTTCCTAGGACACTGCAGTAGTTCTCGCCCTGCTGTTGCAGCAATAGGCTCTCCGCCCGCTACTGGGAACGCATAACTTTGCCTCACACGGCGTCGATGCAGTGGCAGTGGCCCGCATCACTGGAAGAGTATTCCTCCTTCCGGCTGCTCCTTTGCCTACGCGAGAGCGAGTGTGTTTAAATCGCTCTTTTGTTTATCACCATTTCTCTTCGGCCGGCGCTGTTCCCAGGCAGGACCCACCTATGCTCATGCTCGGTCCCGGCATGGCTGCCACGTTGCATCCTGGGGGTTGTAGTTTTCTTTCTGCCCATTGGTGCCTTTTTTTTTTTTTTTGCACATCGGAAATCTTCATGCAGAATTTTTCAGGCTATAGAGCTATAATTATTTATCTAGGAGTAAATTCCAAATATATATTCCACTAAACTTACTTTCGCTAGGCAGAATTGAACAATTAGCCAACAAGATACTTTTAAAAATCTGATTCAATTCTTATCAGCAACATGTATAGATCTCTCAGGCATGCTGTATTTATATGAAAGCCTTAAAAACCAAGGGGTTCCCTGATCACTCCAAATATGCTATTTCTATTTCAATCCAAATATGCTATTTCTATCATCTTTCCCTCCTCAACGTTTTTAAGTTAAAACAAAAACTCTCTGAAGTGAATGTTTCACTCACCGCTAAGTTGTCCCATATATATTTCTAAACAAATGTGATGAGACATATGGTACCTTCTCAGGAATTGAAGGAAGATGGAACAGCCAATCTGCTGGAACGTGGGAGGATCATCTTGTCATCCTCAAGCAACAAGATGTTGGGCTGATTCTGAATGTTGCTCTTTTGGAATATTTTTCAGCGGGAAATCAAAAAGTATTCAGGCCTGTTGCTCAATAAATGAATAGAGCAACCAACAGAGCCTTCAAATGCTGCCTTATATTAGCTACTGTTTGTATGCATACTTAGATATTCCCATGGTGACCAAACAATTAAACATCTTTCTAGTAAATTAATGTCAGCCTTTAACTGCTGAAGTGTTTGGCCCTTATAACTTGATGCTTAGCTGGGGAAAACTTAACTTTTTAACAGCTGAGGAGTGCATCTCCCACAGCTTATTTGGTTTTGATACATATACATAACCACCTAGTTTCATAATAGGAAGCACTTTATTTTATTCAATTTTAATGGCTGTTTTCTCTCCCACTGTTCAGACAAGGCTGCCACAGCAATTCAAATTTGGGTCACTAACAACAATACAATGGTCAGATGGCACTGCCATTCCAAGAATTTCCATCTAGGATGGAACTGGCAAGGCAGCAGTGAAATACAGGGGCTTTGTCTTCACAGGACAGAGTGGATGTGAAGCTGAAGGAGCATCAGTGAGACAAATGTTGATAGTAGTTCCCCTTGCTGACTTTGGCAAAGTAAAAATGGACTACAGAATTGCCAAATAGGTTTTGAGAGAATTAACACAGCTTCTAGTTTGGGTGAGTCAATCGTATGCTGTAGATTTATGCTGGAATCAAACATCACTATCTATTCAAAATGGAGGATCCAGCTGCAAAGGAGGAAGATGGCGAGTGGGGGGGGGAGAAAGTTAAGGGGGAAATCTGAATTGGATTTTGAGATCCAAAACAGTTTAGCAGAATAACAGAGTTGGAAGGGACCTTGGAGATCTTCTAGTCCAACCCCCTGCTCAGGCGGGGAAACTCTATACTATTTCAGACAAATGGTTGTCCAATCTCTTCTTAAAAACTTCCAGTTTTGGAGCATTCACAACTTCTGGAAGCAAGTTGCTCTATTGATTAATTATTCTAACTGTCATGAAATTTTTCCTTACTTCTAGGTGGTTCTCTTCTTGATTAGTTCCCATCCATTGTTTCTTGTCCTGCCTTCAGGTGCTTTGGAGAATAAGTTGGCCCCTCTTCTTTGTGGCAGCCCCTTAGATATTGGAACATTGCTATAATGTCACCCCTAATCTTTTTCATTAAACTAGACATATTCAGTTCCTGCAATCATTCTTCATATATTTTAGCCTCCGGTCCCCTTGTTAGATTGGGTAATGGATAGGCACACACAGGCTTAATGGTAACAACAACTCTTTATTAAGTACAAGTGAGAACAATCCAGCGAAGGTTGAGTCTAACAGCAGCCATTTTATAGGGAGCTGTCTGACCTTTCAATCAATAGGATTAAACCTCTGTTCCTGCCTCAACAGAGGACCTGGGTGGAAACCACTATAGTTGGAACAAGTATCTAACACCCCTAATCATCTTTGCTGCTTTTCATAGCTTTCTTTCTAGAGTCTCAACATCTTTTTTATATTGTGGCACGAAAACCGGATGCAGTATTCTAATTTTGGTCTAACCAAGGCATTACAAACTGTAAAACCTTACTTTTCTCACCATTGAATTTCATTTTGTTAGATAGAGCAGAGTTTTGCAGTCTGTCAAGTTCCTTCTGTATCTTGAACCTATCTTCTGGAGTGTTAGCTATTCCTGCCAGGTTGGTGTCACCTGCAAATTTGATAAGTTCCCCATCTGTCCCCTCATCCAAATTATTGATGAAGATGTTGAAGAGTGCTGTGCAGAAAACAGAGCCTTGGGATACCACCATGAGGATTAGTGTTCCCCCTGCATTGTAGGATTTTGTTCTACTGCATTGTAGGATTTTGTGTACACACACACACACACACACACACACACACACACACACACACACACACTAGCTGCATTGTAGGATTTTGTTTGTTAAAAACCAATTGTAAAAGCCTTTTATATTTGTTTGGGAAATATTCTATATTATATTTAAACATTAAGATTTGTATATTCAAAAAATATATGAAAGGTTGCAATTTAGTGTTGCTATTAATATGGAAATTGCTGCAAAAACTCTGTCTTTGACCTACTCTGGCACCTACTCATACTGGTTGGATAAAACATTGCACATTCATTATACATATTGCTTTAATCTTATTGTGATGCATGAAACCATCTGTTATTGCTTAATGAATTAAGCTAGTGTGGCTTGATGAAGAAATGTAGTTTTACATCCTGATTTAACAGTATTTTTCTGGGTTTATACATGCTAAATTATGGCTTATTGTTTGTTGAATAAATTCTAAATGAAGGCTTTGTACACTGCACTATTCCATGATTTACAAATTTTAGTGGTCAGCATAGTATACATTATACTAACAGAATAACATAGTTGGACTTTGTAGATCATCTAGTCCAACCCACCCCACTCAAGCAGACCATACACCATTTCTGACAGATGGCAGCCCAGTCTCTTCTTGAAAGCTTCTAGGGGTGAAGATTCCACAGCTTCTGAAGGCAAAGTGTTCCATTGGTTGATTGTTCTCACTGTCAGAAAATTTCTCCTTATTTCTAGGTTGAATCTCTCCTTAATCATTACATTCATTATTCTTTGTCTAGCCTTCAGGTGCTTTGGAAAATATATCGACCTCCTCCTCTCTGTGACAGCCCTTCAAATATTGGAACACTGCTATCATTTCTCCCCTGGTCCTTCTCTTCACTAAAGTAGCCATGCCCAGTTCCTGTAACCGTTTTTCATGTTTTAGTCTCCAGTCCCCTCATCATCTTTGTTCTTCTGAACTTTTTCTAGAGTCGCAACATCTTCTTTTATAGTATGGTGACTAAAACTGGATACAGTATTCTAGATGTGGTCTTACTAAGGCTTTATAAAGTGGTATTAGTACCTGACATGATCTTGATTGAATCTCTCTGTTAATGCCATTTAGGATTGCATTGGCTTTTTTGGCTGCTACCACACAGTGTTGATCCCTCGCAGTTACCACTATTAAGCCTGGTTTCTCCCAATCTATATTTGTACTTTGGGTTTTTCTTTCACAAATGTAAAACTTTACTTTTTTCTACATTGAATTTTATTTTGTTAGTTAAGGTCCAGCTTGTCAAGATCCATCTGGGGCCATGATGGCAAACCTATGGCATGCGTGCCACAGGTGGAACACAGAGCCATTTGTCAGGGCATGTGAGGTGTTGCCCTATCAGCTGGCCAGCATACATGCGCGCGTTGGCCAACTGACATCGGCCTTCTTTTCAGGCCGTTTTTTGCCTTCCGACACTTTCAGGGAAGCCTTCTGAAGGTTCCGGAAAGCGAAAAATGGACCTATGGGGAACCCAGAAGTTCAGGAATGGTGACTTCCTGTTTGTCTGTAGTACCGATTTTCGACCTCCGGAGCATTCAGGAGACTTCAGGGGACTTCCCTGTAGGCTCCGGAGGGCAAAAACTGTCCTACTAATAAATCGGAAGTGACTTCCATTTGCCTGTAGGTCCATTTTTCAACCTAACCCTAACCCTCCTGAAGGCTCTGGAAGTCAAAAATCAGCCCTATGGACAAACCGGAAGTTACCATTCCTGAACTTCCAGGTTCCCTGTAGGTCCATTTTTTGCCCTCTGGAGGCTTCAGGGAACTCCTGAGGCCTTTGGAGGGTATCTGTGGGGGAGGCTGTTTTCATCTTCCCCAAGTTCCTAGAAAGCCTCTGGAGCCTGGGGAGGGTGAAAAAACAGCAGCAAAAACAGGGGGGTTCTCTGGTCGTGCACATGTGCATGCAGGGGGGATTGCGCGCATAGCATTATGGGTATGGTATGCTGGCACATGACCCCCTGTGCTCCCCCCCCCACTTTTGGCACAGCATCATCTGCTAATCTGGGAGAAACTAATTTGATAAATTCCCCTTCTATTCATTCTAAGGAATAGAAGTCATTTATGAAGATATTGAAGAGTACTGGGCCTATAATGGAACCTTGTGGTACCCCAATGCTTACTTCCCTCCATGTAGATGTAGTACCATTAAGAACTACTAATTGAGTACAGTTTGTCACCCAGATATAAATCCATTGGATGGTGATGCTATCTATACCACATTTTTTTAACTTACCAAGAAGTAGGTTATGGTCTACCTTGTAGAATCCCTTGCTAAAGTCTACCCCATGGGTCGTCAACCTGGTCCCTACCACCCACTAGTGAGCATTTTGGGATTCCAGGTGGATGGTAAGTACTTCAGAGGTTAAAACCTCCTTTTGAGCGAGTGGGCAGGCACAAGCGCACATATCAATAAATCAACGTACGCAGTTGTAAAATAGGAGAAAGAAAAGTTATAGGCAGGAAAGCGCATGCATGCAAACAAGCAAACATGTGGGAA